ATCTGGAGCGTTCCTGCCATACTCCTGTGTTTAGAGGCCATTCTTAATTACCCTGCCAAGACACTCTTTTCATGAGAGGGAGGGAGGGAGAGGGGGAGAGAGGGAGGGTTGGTTTGAGGGAGAAGAGAGGAATTGGGTGAGGGAACATGTGTGTGTGTGTGTGGAAGAGAAAGACCAATGGGGACATGATCCAGAGGCTTTGACAGCACAGAGGAAGCTCCCTGCACTGCTGGATGCTCTTTCCTCTCTTCTTCTTCTTCTTCTTTTCCCCCTCTCTCTCTCTCTTTCTCCCCCCCCTCACCCTGCCACCTCCCCCAACCAACTTCCTCATCCCTCCTCTCTCTCCCCCTCCACCCAAACCCAACCACCCACCCCCATCCCCTCCTCCACGCCCCGCTTCCACCGTTATACTTCCTCCCTTTTTCCCCTTTATCGCGAGCACACACAGGAATCGCCCGTGGGCTTCAGTGCTCTGACTGCTAATACACTGACACACACACACACACACACACACACACACATACAGAGAAGCAGGCAGACAAGAGAGTCATGCGCCCTGTTTGTGGCACTCATCACCATGCACACATCTTTCCACTATCTGCCTGGAAAATCTATACTCCTCTCAGCTCATCTGTCTGTTCCTGTCTCTTCCTCTGTCTCCCACCATCCCTCCATCCATCAGACCTGCATGGCTGCACCACACTCGTCTGTATCTGCCGCCCGTCTTTCTCTGTCCGTCCCTGGTTCCTCTCCTTCTCTAACCCCGGTGTTTGGACAGGCCCAGCGTCAGGCCTGCTGCTCCCTGTCCTCCACCAGGGGACAAGAGGTCATCTCTTCCTTCCCCCTGTGTGACCGCCTCATAATGATGCTCTCACTCAACCCCGGAGCCACTCACCCTTCTCCCCGACTGCTCTAGTTAAGAAAAACAAGAGTGAGGGGGAATGAGGGAAGGAGAGAGAGAGGGAGGGAGAGGGAGATACAAGCTCTGTAATTGGGCTCTTGAATATTTAAGTCACTGGGGATGAAAGTTTAATGAAAAGATGATTATCTACCAGTTTATCACACCACTGTTTCATATTTCATTTTCATATTCTCGTTCCGAGCTTCATTGTCCATTTGGCAGCTGCAGATACAGAGTTTAGGAGCCAGAGCGTGTTGGAACATACTGAACGAAAAGACGAAAAGATGAAGGAGACACTTTGAAGAGACACTTAGGACCAAGAATGTCTTTAATGTGTCTTTGCTTTGTCACTTTTATTTTGTCCTTGCATTGTTTAGTTCGACAGCTGCAAATAACCAGAGTTACGATTGAGGATGTGTTGGATTATACTGCAAAAAATAGTTGAAATGACAGGACGACATGCATACAGTCATTTAAGTGATTTTATATAAAGGGATGTCAATGCACGTGACTCTTTACCACAAACCAAAAAGATATTTTTCTGTTAGAAATTGAAGTCTCTCTTCCCACAATAGTTTTAAGATAGAATAAAGTGAGTAAACAATATAGTAACTCTGAACTGATCCCCTTTTTTAAAAATGACCATGAGGGTGCAGTATTGTATTTTCACATTGCAATGCTCTCTATGTGCGCATCAAGACTAACATGATCGTGTCCCAGTTGAGTCGAAGTCTTGAATTTCACACACATTCATTATTAGAAAACAAGTCACAGAAGGTCTGAACAATATTACTTATTGTTTAACTGCATTTATTCATTAATAAGCTGCATAACAAGAGTGGAATTGAGGAAACATTGTGTAACAAATAAAACACAGTATCCACTTAAAATGACTCACAGACTTGATGTCGACTAGATTTGTACGATTCATTCAGTTTAATCCAGATAAACTAGAAAATTCAAACTAAATGTCTTAGACAGCCAGAATTACTGAATCATGTTTGACTATAGGACATAAACAACAACTCCTGTAGTCATAAAAATAATTTAATCAATCCAAAAAAATACCTCAAACTTTATATGGAGCAATGTAGAAATAAACTTACCACAGTTTTATAAAGCAACACAAAATATGTCAACTATAGAATGACAAAAGTTGGAGAAGAAAATATTTGAAGAAATCTAAATATGGATCAAATTGAACACATTAATCTACAAATCCAGATGTGTTGTCATTCACCAAAATATCAAAAAAATCCTGTATCAATAATTTTATCTACATCTGAATCTGAATCTGAATCTGCACCAAAACGTACCAGGTTCTCTCCAGACCCAGGAAACACCCTCCACCGAGTGAGAGGGAAATATGTTTTGTTGTTTTTGCGTTTTCCTGCTAACAAAGAAACAAACAAAGAAACAAACATGGCGCTCAGTAAAGTTCAGTTCCCTTCAATTCAATTGAGCTGTTCCGAATTACAAACACTCACAGATCTCAGCCCCTTAAATGTGCCTGATTATTCAATTAGTAATTACACACTGGAAATGGATGAAACTGGTGAAATGGCCCAATCTCGCAGTGTTAAAAATAATTCCTCGAGCCAACCCCTGATCCGAATCGACACCAGTTTCTATCCCGATCTGTACCACATCCTCAGTTTTCGAGTCATCCTGCTAACAAACAAACAAACACAGATTAAAAACAAACCAACTCAAAAGCAAACTGAGAGAAGTCAACCTCAGTGTCATCGATGGTAAAAATGGCCCTGCACATGTTCTGTCGTGAGCTTTAAATACAAAGACCTGGTTTCTCTCTGATTTAACAAGTGCGTGTGCTTAGACACAGATGAAGAGATGGCTTGACTTCCAGCTTCTTTGGCTTAAAGCATCAGACGGTAACTTAACTCGCCGATTTCAGCCCGTTCTGCTGATTGTGTTTCACCTCCACAAACACCCTGAAGACAGTTCAATAAAAAAAAAAAAAAGCACAAGGACACTCTTTCCTTTATTTAATCGCGCCGGATAAACAGACGGCTGTTTGTTATTCATTCTCATTATTCATAATAGTCGGGACATTAATCCCTTTTTTGCTGGAAGATGGTGCGGGGGAAAAAAAGAGGCATTGAGCGTCG